AAAATAATTCCTATTAATCTCACTATGAGACAAGGCTGCACTCTGTTTATCATTTATTAACTAGTAGAATAACATCATTTATTTTAATGAACATGTTTCTGACAACATCCATCAACTGCAGCATCATCATCTGTTGGATGAAATATTATGTCAGATCAGTATAATCAGGATCTGTGCAAAACGTTCTGATTTCTGATGTTTGGCACCAAGAAAAAATAATTCTGTAATTTGATTTTCTGTTTTTCTCACCTAGACGACGAAAACTTCACTGGAAAATACTTCCATTTGGTAGGAGGCAGTTTGCATTTTCTGTCTAATGGACCAGTGTAGTTACTGCGTGGATCTGATGTGATGTTTTGGTGTCGTGGTGCAGATCGACCCCGATGTGGAGGAGGACCACGGGAAGAACCCAGAGAGGAAGAAGCTGAAGCTGAAGGAAGTGTACCTGACCAAGCTGCTGTCCACCAAGGCAAGAGGAAACAGAGACAGAACCGATACCAGCTGAAACAACAGACGTTTGGATCATTTCAGTATGAAACATGAATTAACCTGTGTTGTCCTGTCTCTTTAAGGTGGCCGTTCATTCATACGTGGAGAATCTCTTCAGGTCCATCTGGGGGATGACCCAGAACAAAGCTCCCCTCGCCATCAAGTACTTCTTTGACTTCCTGGACGCTCAGGCAGAGAACATGAAGATCACCGACCCAGACGTCCGACACATCTGGAAGACCAACAGGTACGGATGAGCTTCCCAGCGTCTGATTGGACAGTAGCGAACTCTGAGGAAACCAATTAAAACAGAAGCTGTTCTGTCCACACCAGCTTGCCGCTGCGCTTCTGGATCAACATCCTGAAAAACCCGCAGTTCGTGTTCGACATGGAGAAGACGCCTCACCTGGACGGCTGCCTGTCGGTCATCGCTCAGGCCTTCATGGACTCCTTTTCTCTGAGCGAGATCCAGCTAGGGAAGGTGAAGATGTTTTGCACATTTGTCTCCTATTGTACAATCACAGGAAGGGCCGTTTCCTTCTCTTTTTGTTTGTCGCGACAGATGGCAGGACTCCAAGGAATGTGCGACCGCAAAAAATGACTTCTAATGAACCTTAATGTTTTACAGCACGCGCCAACCAACAAGCTGCTCTATGCCAAAGACATCCCCAAGTTCAAGCAGGAAGTGAAGGCTTACTATAAGCAGATCAGGGAGCAGCCAGCAGTGAGCGACGCTGAATTTAAAGACTTCCTGAACGGAGAGTCCAAGGTAAAGTCCAGTTTCACACAAATCCAATGAGAAATTTATGTTTACCATTAAATATTTCAGTAAACTCTTTCATAGAGGGATACAAGAACCTAACTTGCTGTAGATGTTCCCAATGTCTTACTTTTTGTAGAAGGGAAAAAAAAAAGTAGACACAGAAAAAAAATCAAGATGGCGGCCATCATGGTCGTATAAGAAAACTGACCTCAAGCTGTGAAACCAGAAACTATCACAGTAGTCTAATGAAATAAATTAACTCAGAGGTACAGTATGAAGAGTCAGTGGCAAATTTACTGTACAATAGGAGGAAATGAGATTTCCTCCAGTGGTTCAGGCAGTGAACACAGAGACGAGGTGGCTGATGTTTAAAGGTTATCGATTTCATGGCAGCCATGATGACTGACTTCCCTTTTTTTCTCGGTTTTTTCAGAAACACGAAGGCGAGTTCAATGAAGCTGCAGCCCTCAGAGAACTCTTCAAATTCACACAGCGATACTTCACAGAGGTCAGTCCTCACATCCACCTCGACTCCACTGCTCCAGCTTCATGGATGCTTTTACTGTCAGTTAAAAATCCACATTTTGATTAGTTGCGCTGCAGATTAGAACCATTATGCACTGCTGACAGACTGGAAGCTGAGGGCAGAATCACAAACCTAATGGAGCTTTTTGCTTTCTTAATGACCACATATCTTCCCATCTGATTTTTGCTGGAGACAACAAATCCAAATTGGGAGACTTTCAGCTGCACAAACGGCCTAATGCAGGCCAGGAAACCCTGATGGGTTAGATTTACTCTTCTGGTTAATCCACCTCTCAGAAACATGGAGTCACATTCTGGACGTGTTGAAACTGTGGGGTCTTCTGCTGTTTCCACACGTCTGTCAGAGGTGTAGAAAGCTGCAGCAGCGACTCGAGTTGTGAAACTGAACATCACATGAAACGCTGAGCAAAGGAAATGAGAAGCTCTTCTTTTGCTTCATGTCAGCGTGTTGCTTCCGGTTCTGTTCTGCAGAGCAGGACTTCTTTCTTATCAGCTTTCCAGATGTTTCCAACAGAAGATTCAAACTGCCCAGCATAACAGAAGCTGCACAAACACGAGTGACGACAAACCTATTGTTTATTGTTGGTGGATCTTAGGAAAATGAGTTCACATTACATCTATCTGGACTTTTCCACAGATTAAAGAGAAGCTGTCCAGTAACGGCGCCCCCGCTGAGCTGTTGGAGCAACTGCAGCATGTCAAAGATTTGTTTGACGAACTGAAGAGCTGCTCCTGGAACTGAGCGCTGATGCTGAACTGAAGTGAACCACGACAGGAAGGGAGGAACGGCTTCCAAACCTAAGATGACAAACGCTGAAGTGGCAACATTTGTCACCTCCTGCAGCAAACATGGAGCTGAAACTCTGTTTCAGAGATCAGCTGCTTACATTCAGGGAAAGTCTGTGACCAACAGAGACTGGATCTTCTGCTCTAATGCCTCAGAGACGATGGAGACTGAACCCTGGGAAGTTTCAGGAGCTAAAACAGAAGTCACCTGATGAACAGTAACATTTAATATCACATTAAGACAGAGGAAGTGTCACAAAGAGCCCTGAGTAATTGTTCAAGTAAAAATAATCTGTACATTTCATGTGTAAGTTGCAGCATGTAGAACTTTTGTCACAGCTGCATACAAATCATTTCCTCTGTGGTTTAGACCAGGGGTCTGCAAGCTGCTGGTACGTTCTACACCACAACGGAACTTAATGGCACGAGAGAGGTTTTTTTTTTTTAATATTGTAAAAGTACATTGCATTTTTATATTTTGCAGAAATATAAATTGTTCCCACAAGGAACATTTCTTTACTGCAAAACTTTAGTTTTTTTTATAATATAAAATAGTTTTTTTTAGCCATAAAATAAGCTAAATTAGAAAACGTTTTTAAGCAGGTTCAGTTCAGCAGCAGTGAGTCTCTGACCCCTGGTTTAAACACGTTGGACCCTGAGTCAGTTTTGTTCAAGGCGCAGAAGAAAAACAACAAACTGGTTCGCTTTTAGAAAAATACATCTGTGCAAACCATTTTCATGCACTTGACTTGAAAAGCACCGTCTGATTACAAAATGTTTACAAGTCCAAAGTGACAGGGTCAGAGGTCAGGGGGTCATGTTTGGGAGGTTCATCGTGCTCCTTTTGCACCAGTGATCCCAGTTCCTCCAGCTGCTGCTGCTGAGCGTTCTCCAGACTCTCCAGTCTCCTCTGCAGCAGAGAGAACTCTCCCTCCTGCAGGACACACACAATCACCCCCATCATCTCCTCTGCAGTGTGTTTCACACACAGCTGAATGTATAGAAAGCTTCAACACAGAACACTTTCTATAGATCAGGGAGTCGAATACTTTCAGTTTTGTCAGAACTTTAGGTTCTCTGCCTACATCAGGGCAATTACCTACAATCTACTGGTTAGTTTCTATGACGATATGAACATTTAAATATACATTCTGTACATTTCTATTTCTTCTTTCTACATGAGCTACGATTCTTAGAAAAATCTGCACTAGATTATTCCAGATTAAACAGGGATGACATTAAATCCTAGTCAGTCTGTGGTGATGCCTTCATTTCACCATAAAGTAGGAATTTCCACGCAGGTTCCAGAACTTTGGCTTCAGTTGAACTAGTGAGTAATGAGTTGATCAAAAAAAAAAAAAAGAAGCTATCATTTAAGTAGAAATGTTTTTCTAAAATTCCTATTAGTATCTTCTATATAAACAGCATGAAAACTGACTTTCCCCCTGTGATCATCTTTTAAATAATCTCATTCCAGTTCCAGACAAAAGAAGCATCAGCTGCTTTTTTTCAGCGTCACATTTCTTTCATTTCCTGACACTCAGCCTGCGCTGCGCTTCCTTCCTCCTCCTGAGTGATGCCTCAGGGTCTGAAGCTCACCAGGTCAGCAGCCAGTCGCCCTTCGACCCCGAGGGAGAGCCGGGAGGTCATGAGGGCGGGGCCCTGCCCGCTCAGCAGGAGGGAGCGGAACTCGTCGTGTCGTCGCTGCAGCTCCTTCAGCCTCCGCTTCAGCTGAGCCTGCTCCTCTGAGAACACTGACCGTCTGGAAGAATAGAATATTAATATTATTAATAAGTGATGTGTGACAGAGGAGCTGCAGACATGATGGAGTGACATCCACCTCTTTATGGCAGCAGCAGCTTCCAGCTCCAGCTGTTCGATTTTAGCCTCCAGCAGCTGGATCTTGTTGTGCAGCTTCTTCTCTCTGTTCTCCGTCTGATGTTTCCTCTAAATGACAAACAGCTGCAGCTTTCAGCCTTAGTGTCAAAAACTCTCAACATGTTCAGATTTAAAAACTAACCTTCTTCTGAGCCACTGCTGCTCTCTGCAGCTTCTCCTTAGCCTGAGAGTATTTCTGCTGCAGCTCCTCTTCTCGCTCCTGCAGCCGGTGTTTCTCCTCCAACCACTCGACCCGCCGATCCTCCACCATCCTGCAGGTGGAGCCACACAGAAACGTGAAGATGTGGAGACACACAGAAAGCGGCAGAGAGCGAGCGGCCGCACCTCTCCGCCTCATGCTGGCTCCGCTCCGCCTGAGCCCGGGTCGCCCGCACCTCCTCCCTCACTCTGTCCAGAGTCTCCCTCAGTCTCTGGTTGGCGTCCGTCAGCTCGCCTTCAGAGCGCGACAGCGCCCCCAGCTGGACGCTGAGCTCTTGGTTCTGCTGTTGTTTCAAACAATATTCAGGATAGAAATCAAATCCATTAAAACAAAACACAAAGAAAAGAAGAAAGAGATGCAGACTCACCTGCTGCAGGTCACTAATCTCTGCTTTCTGTCTCTCTAGCTCCTCTAGCTGTGAACTCTGCTGCTGCACTTTGTTTCTAAGAAACACAAAACAGGACTTTCTAGAATAAATTGAGATTAGGTGGTTATTGTGCTGCGCTGGCAGAGAGGAACCTCACATCATCCCCAGACTTTACTGACCAACATGAAACACTGATGTCTCAAACCACAGAAACAGGAACAGGAACTTTAACTAACCAGACTGCTACTTGCAGTAGGCCAATGCTTGGGGTCGTTTGTGCAGGATTAAAATATCACGTCTTTATCTGTAGTCATCTCATACTTGTCACATTTTTTATATGCTTATTATTATTAAAAAATAAAGATGTAAAGATTACGTCAGGTTGTTTGTGCATCCTTAAAAAGTCTTCAATTTATGGGGGAAATAATAAGTTGGCCTTGACGTATTAACATATTTAATAATTAGGTTTTTTAACTGCAGCCTGTTATGCTTGGAAAACAGAATGTGGCATTTTGGTGGATCATCTACAGGGTTATGAATCTTTCTAGCTTTCTCCAAAAAGCTAGAAAGGGCCCCGGTTGTGGTGCATAGTACCAGCCCGGCCCGGCTGACCTGAGGTTCTGCAGCTCTCTGCGGAGCGACTCCTCTCCCTGCTGAGCGCTGCGCAGTCGTTCCTCCCACTCCTCCTTCAGTGCCTGATCTGACGAGTCCTGCAGCGCCCTCTGCTGTTCCAACACTGCCAGGCGGTTCTCCAACTCCAGCCTAGAACAAACACATGGAGAACGATTTAACAGGACTCACTCGTTCATACTCACTCACTCTGGAACAGGTTCATGAACTGATTCTCACCTCTCCTCATGTAAGGTGGCCATCTTGTGGAACTCCTCCTCTCGGGCCGACTGCACCTTCCTCACCATCTCTCTCTCTTTTTCCAACAAAACCTCCTTGTTTCGCTCCAGCGCCGCTTTCAGCACCTCAACGTCTGCCTGCAGACCTGACATACACACACACACAAACCAGATACACACATTATGCTTCCCGTCTTGGAAAAGATGAACACAGCTTATTTGTGATGTGTTCAGTAGCTTTTATGAATGAACTGACTTTAGCCAGGCAAGACTTTAGGAAAGAAAAACATTGATTTAATGTTTCTTGGGAAAGTATTTTTCTTATGCTAGAAGGAAGCAGAAAACCGACAGACTAACATCACATGAAGCAGAAGCCAGTCAGAGCTGAGCTGTCAGACAGACAGAGATTCTCCTCCAGGCAGAACAACTAAACATTAATGACCAACTCATTTGATTCAGGTTTGTTGAATAGAGGAAACATCTAGAACATGCAGACACCAACCCCCTGCTGTGAATCGGAGCATGTTGAGGTATTAAACGGTCCAGTCAAAGTCGAGACTAAGTCTGCTGTAAAACCTGAACATTTCTGTTCAGACACTTACCATCCAGGAACTCTTATTTTGACAGGACGCTGGATTTGGTGAGTCTCCAGTCTACTAATAAAAATGTTATGAACCAACAAAACCTTATTGGAGATAAAACAATCATTTTAAACATAACAGCCACTTGTGAGCTTTTTAATATGACAGGAGATCTGGCCTTTCAGGTAAGACTTTCCAATTTTATCCTTAAAACTCCAAAGTCAATGACATTTTTAAACACAAAAAATAAAACATATACAATAAAAGTACCAGAATTTAATTGTAAATCAGTTTTAAAGTTCGATTGGTCATAATTAATTTATTTATAACTTAAAATGAAAAGTGAAATGTTTGATGGGTAATACATAAAGCGTCACATATCAAGTCAACCGCGCCAGTTTATCAATCAATCAAGGCCCTGTGTGTGTGTGTGTGTGTGTGTGTGTGTGTGTGTCTCCGTACCGTCCATCTGTCCCTGCAGTGTGTCCCTCTCCCTCTCCATGTCTCCTTTGGAGCGAACACACTCCAGCCTGACGCTGGCCAGCTCCAGCTTGTGTGAATGCTTCAGGCTGTCGATCTGCCAGCAGTCAGAGGTGAAGCGTTAACGCAGCAGCGACTCCCTGAGGAATCAAGACTCAGACCGGATGCTGAGCAGCGTACCTGAGCGGTCAGAGCACTGGCCTCCCTCTCAGTGCGGTGCAGCCTCCCAGTCAGCTGGGCGTTCTGCTCGTGGCTCTGCTGGAGCTCGCTCTCCATCCTGTCCAGCTGTTGCCGCAGCGACTGACGCTCCGCCTGTCAGAAACATCGTTCGTGAAGTTACATCAGATCCAAGTTACATCAGAGTACCCTCCCACGGCAGGGCGATGAAAGCAGCTCCACCTCTTGTGACTTGACCACAGACTGCAGCTCCGTCAGCTGTCTGATCTGGATGCGCTGCACGCTCTCAGCCTGCTGACCCGACGTGTCCCTCTGGGCTCTGAGCTCGGCCACCTCCGCCTCCAGGCCTTTGAGCCTCTGGTGGAGCTGGGCCTTCTCCCTGAGCAGAGCCTCCACCCGCTTCCCGTCACACAGGGCCTCTGAATCCTGATACTGCGCCACCAGCTCCTCCCGCTCCTTCTCCAGGCGGGCAACCTGACAGCAGGAAACCAGACGGTCAGCAGGTCATCGGTACCACCATCCACTCCGACCGAGCCGAGGTTGTTATAGTTAACTAACAAAAGAACAAAAACTGAAACTGAGAAAACGTTTTTTGCTAACTGAAATAAATAAAAACTGTAATTAATGGGGAAAACTATAACTAACTAGAATTTCAAACTGATGTGAAATTGACTTTTTTCCCCCCACATAATCAGCTCACATCATCTGTTGGTAAATCACAGCTCTCCACCAGGTTAGGTTGGAGAAAACTCCAGTCTACTGGTTGTTCAACAATAATGGAATAGATTTTTTTGAAAATGGTATTTTATGTTGAGCATTTATTACCCAATCAATGAAAACATAACCACAATAACTGCACCTAAAAATTGACCAAAGAATGACAAAACTCCAACTACTGCTATAAGTAATAAAAACTCAATTGAGACTAAACAATATTTAGCTAATAAAAACTAGCAAACACTCTAAAAACTAATTCAAGGTAACTGAATTAGACGAAGAGTCAGAATGAAATCAAAGTGAACTATAACAGAGAAGCTGCAGCTGGGGGGTGAACTCCCACCTCGGCCCCGTGGAGGACCCTCCTCTCCTCCAGGATGCGGCTGTGCTCCTCCCTCTGGTGCTCCAGCTGGGACTTGACGACGGTGAAGTCGTAGCGCAGCTTGTTGTACTCAGACCGGTACTTCTCCGCCTCCTGTGGAGCGATCACACAGAGCAGAGGGAGAGGCGCCGTCAGACCGACAGCAGGAGAAAAGGCTGCAGATGATTGGCTGCCGTCTGCTTCACCTCCTCCAGCTTGTTGAACCTCTCCCTCACCGGAGCCTCCATCTCCTGCTGCACCTGAGCTCTGAGGAGCTCCAGCCGCTGAGGGGTCATCACCTGCTCACAGGAAAACAACAAAACCATATCAGTTTGTTTCTAAATCTCCTCTGTATGTAAAGAAAAAAAAAAACGCATCATAATCTTCTTCTTCTTGTACCTGCAGGCGCAGCTCCTCCAGCTCCCTGGTCTTGTCCAGCAGCTCTCCCCGCAGCTCAGCCAGCAGCAGCTGCAGCCTCTCCTGCTCGCTCTGTTTTTCGCTCAGCAGGCGCCTCACTTCCCCCTGAGCGTGGGTGAACTGCGTCTGCAGGCTGGACACGGAAACAGACGCAGAAATGCGACAGCCGATCTGCTGGAGATCAGAACATCCCCACCCCCGGTTGGTTCTGCTGACTGAGGAGACGCAGCTTCAGTTGTAATTATTAGATCCAAACACATCTGCTTCATTCTAAACTTGATCCTATTTCTTAAAAATGATTTTATTTAGTTTTTTTTTTTTTTACAGGAATGGAATAGAGAGAATGGGGGCAGAGGATGAGAGTCGACTGTAAAGTTTCTACCTGACTGATGCACAAAAACTCTGAGCGTTTCCGCTCAGATCGTTGATCTGCAGCTGCAACTGTCAATTACTTTAGTAATCAATTATTCTGTCAATAATTCCAAATGGTCATTCTGCAGATCTTCATTTACCTACTGAAGCCTGTTTGATGCAATATTAGAAATTCAGAAAAGAAAAACAAATGAATAATTACATTTCTTTTTTAATAGAAATATTATATTACATAAAATGCAACAACATATTCCTTTAGTGAATGCTTGATCGTTTGTAGTTAAAACAAAGCTCAGCATCATTAGACTGGTAATATTTTTTAATTAACCAATTGATAATTGGATAGCAAAAGATGCTTAATATGAGATTATCTTTACAAAATTTGAAGCTAAAACTGCAAGTGGAGAAGTTCTGGGACGAGATTTTTTTTTTTTTTTTACAAAGCAGTAAGCAGTTCCCTCCTCTGTACCTGGTGTGCTCAGCCTTCAGGGTCTGGTAGTTGGTCCGGTGGTTTTCGCTCTTGATCCTCTCGTCGATGAGCATCTTCTGCAGCTCCAGCTCTGCTCCCCCCAGCCCGGCGGACAGACCCAGCACGGCTGCAGACTTCCCCATCCCCGGTACGAGGTTGGCGACCATAGAGGCCGGCTGCCCAAGCGAGGCCATCTCACCTGCGGCAGGTGCAAAACCCGACAGTAAACTACCTGGGAATGGAGCAGCAGAACTCACCGCGTCTGTGTGAGAGGGAGGAGTGAATCTTTACGCAGTTCAGTGGTGAATAAACTGGCTTCAGCTTCACGTCTTGTTGTCAGTAACCATGGTGGCTTCGAGTCCCTAAAGCCTCTTGTTCCAATCAGCTCTCAGCTCTGAATCAGTCTCAAGTGATTAGTTAGCTCGTTTCCCCGGCAGCTGCTGCTATTATGGATACAAGAGTCTGTGATTACAATTATACCAACTCTCTTCTGAACCTGGTCACAGCCACTGGATTAATGCGGAATATCAGAATTAGAAAGCAACAAGGCTCACAATAAGTGTCTTTCTCGGCGAGTTTTCCTTCCCTAATAATTGTAACGGGAAAAAAACACATTGAGGGTAATGACAACACTGGAGGTTAACATGTTTGAATGTCGCGCCCCGAAGCATGACATGCTAACTAGCGTCTACGCTGTGCGCATTATCGGACACTCAGCATCTTTTCTCATTTCTTTTAACAAGTCTGAAAAATAAATTAATTCTGAATGTTATATCAAACACACCGTTCATAACTAAAACATGTTGAGGCAGCGAATCGAAGTGTTGCCTGAAGAGTAGGCTAGCTTTGAAGATAAGCTAACTATGCTAACGTGATTTACAAAAATGACTGTAATATTCTTCTAACTCTCAAATCCAAACAATTGCAAAAACTATATTGTAAATGCTACTTATTCTTTGATCCGTTTAAACTGTCAACAGAACAAGATAACTTACCTCTTTTACAGAGCCACCACTATTTTGTAGCTCGCTAGGTAGCCTAGCTGACAAGCTGCTCTAAACTACAAACTACGGAATCATGGGAAACTGTTGTCCGTTTCTTTTTCTGTTCCTGTGTACAGGCCCTTAATTCGACAGGAGATTCTTCCTGGACACAACTAACCATCTATGATATCTTCAGGAGAAACTGAGAAAATAAGAAATCCCATTGTCAAAATTTACCTTGGAATTATTAAGGACACATTAAATTGAATTAAACTGAATAATAAAACCTGAACTTGTGGCTGCTTGGCAAACTCAAACTTTGAGAGTCGGAACTGTGACTTCAAGTCTCCTCTTGTATGAAAACTGAGAGAAATTTGACGTATACAAAAAGAATGCTACAGGTGATAAAATACAAATTGTGCATCACCTACACAAAAATATGCATTTGCCAAAAGTCTTATGTGAGACTATAAGCGCTCTTGGAGGCCCTCTCCTGGCCAGGATGACCTAAAGCAGTTGCTTGGTTTATTTAAGCCTCAGTCCAGCCTACCTTTTAAAACGTGAGCAAAAAACAGCAAAGCCGTTTTTCCTATGTGAACATATGGAATTCTTCCATCTTTGCTTCTGGTCTACAGTGTAAAACATGGCTGCTTCTGCAAACAGTTTGAGAGAGCGTAAGACAAATAAGGGTGTGAATACATTTGCTTGTCGCCACAAGGACAGAATAACACGACTAACAGCATCGTCCCAAAACAGTCTCTAATAATCAGGAAACAAATGAATGTACCTTCATGTTGTGGGATATTATCAACTTTATTTATCTTGAATAAGAATACATTTAATTTTCTCTGTAGCTTGTCCAGAAGTGACTAAAGTACATGTAGTTCTGGGGAACACAGATATTAAAACGCTGATTCCAGTTTGGCCGCTGGAGTCAAATTGAAGAATCGACATTCCCAGGAATATTTTCTTTTAAAGCATAAAAAACATTTGCAGATAAAAAACAAATGGAAGAAAGGAACTCCAAACAAGCTAGAGACTGGTAACCAAATGGAGGACTCCGAAATAAGAAGACAAAGTCATAATTTTGGATATTTTGTAATAAAAGTTGCTGGGGAAAAAATAAAACTATTTTGTATTAAACTACTATACAATTCATATATAGATTGCATTATAATCAGAACTTTGTTTTTCCCCTGAAGGTGAGTAAAACAGTTGTTGACCTCAGACTGTAGAAGAGCTTGTATTTCAGGCGTCCTGACAGGAAGCGGAGATCCCGTGCCATTCGCATCAGTTCCTGTTTGTCTGAGATTCTCTTTAAAGTAAACAGTCACCAACGACAAGAGCTTCCCCTTTATCCAATACACCCAGCACACACACCCTTTATGCACATAACACTGGCACAGCCTAGGGCAGGAGTGGGCAATCCTGGTCCTCGAGGCCCGGTGTCCTGCAACTTTTAGATGTCTCCCTGGTCCAATATACTTGAATCCAACAGCTGAATCACCTCATGAGTGCAGTCAAGTTCTCCAGCATCCTGCTAACAACCTCATTATTTGACTCGGGTGTGTTGAAGTAGAGACACATCTAAAAGTTGCAGAAAACCGGCCCGGGAGGCCTGGAGTTGCCTACCCCTTGCCTAGGGCGATAGATGGAGGCAGAGCCAGCCTAACTGTGTGCACTGCTGTTAGGAGTCCTCCAGGCCAGCAGGGGTCTCCAAGATAGTACAATTTCCCACTTAAGCTTCTAATTATTAATCATTTTTATTGTGAATTTGACTTACAAAATAAAAATATAGCTCTTAAGGGAACTCAAAACAAAAGTAAAAATACAGTAGTAGTATTGTTTGATAGTCCTGCTACTACCTTAATCAAGCAAATTACAGAAATGAGCTTATGTTTCCCAACATAACCAAGTCTTAGAGTGAACATAACTGCCACATCAAATGAATAAGGCAGAAAAATAACCTAATTCAATAAATAATGTGAACTAGAGTGGGGGTCCAAACTGAAGTTCTCCCGAGGCCTCCTACCATCTTGGACTGGCTCTGCCTTAAAATACAAGCACTTTTAAGATTTGCTGGAGATATAGTTTTGTTGATTTTGTAACAAAATGGAAAGCAACATTTTCTTTCATTAGATATCCAAAACTAAAACAGAATCATGTAGACGTGTGAAGTACCGTCCAGTTTAAAAGGAGAAAAAACACCAAAGTGAATCAGAACCCAACCTCTGCTGAGCACAGATTTCATTAGCTTAGTGTTTCCTCCTGGTGTTTCAGTCATATCTATATATAATTATTTATTATTAATGATGATTAAATCATCATCCATGTCTATAAAAACAATTACTGAATGCATCTCACCTGACAATGTCTTCATATTAGAGATTATTTCATAAAACTGTTGCTAAATGAAACAGTTGGAGGTTAAATCGGCCTGTGAATCTATTTACAGTTTCATCAGAGAAAAATAAATTAGGAAAAATGTTTTAGAAATGTTCAGTTCGACTTCCTGAGGGAATTTCTTTTCCTGTAGCTGCTCCAGAAACGCCTCAGCTGGAGCTGCAAGAAGAGCAAACAACATGATTCCATGAGTTTAAAGGAAGGAAGGAAAGGAAAAGAAAAAGACCATAGGAAGGAAGGAAAAAAGGTAGATAGGTAAACTTGGATAAGGAACAATCTGAAAACACATTTGTTCCAAACTAGATTTAATTTTCTGATCCTGATAATCTAACTACAGTCTCTTCCAGAGTGTTTACCTGTCAGCTGCGTCTGGGTCAGCCTCAGCACTGCCGTCTGGTTTGGCAGCAGAGCCCCGCAGTTTGATAGGATCTGTTAAAACCCAGAGATCAGAGATGTTCAGGTGGAGATGGAACAGGAAGTCAGAGATGTGCAGCAGGAAGCAGTTCCACCTTGGATCCAGCGGATCTGTGTGGCCGGTCCGTAGCCCTGCTCGTTCTTGGCCGCAATGCGGAAGACGACAGCGGGCCGGCAGGACGCCGAGCTGTCAATGTGGGCGTTCTCCAGGTGGGAGGAGCTGACCGAGCAGCTGGTCTTGGTGCCGCGGTAGATCCGGATGAAGGCCATCTGCCCTGGCCGTTCTGAGCCAGACCGGCTCTTTCTCACCGCCAGGTACATAGAGTACTCCAGAATCCGACCTGACGGAGACGTCGGGGCCTCCCAGGTGATCTGGACCGCATCGCTGGCCTGAACACACCACACCGGACCAGAACCTTCATGACTATCAGAACCCTCCAGCTAGCTCTTACCTCCCACTAGCTGCATTTCCATTTCAAATGTGCACAAAACTTTGTCAATATTCTGCTAATGTCATTAAATAAATAAGAAACGCAATTAAAATCACACACTTATAAGTTTCTTCACATGATAAGTCATTAAAAAAACTACTTCCTGTCGTTTTCTTCATGGTTTGGAGCAGTAGCAACATCCGGTTGTTGACCATGTGACGCGTGTGATGCAAAAGAATAAGTGTTCCCATTGCAGTTTTGCTAAACAAAGCAATTTTAATATAACAACCCCCACCCAAAAAAAAAAAAAAGCATCTCACAGAAGCACTTAAACTTCTGTCAAAAATGAGAGCTTTTTCAAAATTGCCATGTTTCCATTGAGCAAATTTATTTTTGAAATGTCAAATTGTGCAAATATATGGTCAAGGGAAACGTAGCTACTGAGAAGAGATGCTGTTGCGTTACCTTGGAGATCTTGACGGCGGCGGGTGCTCCGGGGAAGCCGGGCTGGCAGGTCTTGAACTCGCTGGCTGGGCTGAAGTCTCCCTGAGAGAAGCAGTTGATTCCAGCCACCCTGAAGCGGTACATCTGACCCGGGGTCAGCGGCTGCTTCTCCCGGCCCTGGTAGTCCTGAGGGCTGGGCAGCTTCCTTTGGGGGACGGCCTGACAGAAACACAGGTCGGTCAACGCCACGCTAACACTCTGTTAGCTCGCTACTGTTCAGGAGTCCCACCTGTTGGTCTTCAGCTGGCAGGAAGTAGTGGCTGACCTCGCAGTAGAGCGTCTTAAACACGCCAACATCGAACCATAAGCAGCCATCTTGGTTCTCCTTAGCCTGAAGGCAGCACAACACATCCAGATGAACAAGCCGCAGCGCCTCGATAAAAGTCTTCACACCATTTAGGCTTTTGCCGAAACCAAAGTGAAAACTAGGTCAGATTGCTTGTTTGGGTTGATAAACGGGATTCTGGCTCACTAGAGGAGTACCGCAGGGTTCGGTCCTTGGGTCACTTCTCTTTCCTGTACATGTTCCGTTTTCTTTTTTGAAGCCATGTTTATCAGTGATGAATAAAGATCAGGAACCTCTAGAAGCCCACAGGGAGCTCTGTTAATGAGCACACTTTTATTTTGCTTTGACTGTTCCGCTCATTTTGTTTGAGACTATGATACATTTCGTGAACATAAAATCTAGGGCTGGACAGATAACTTGGCCCTGATTTACTTAATTTTGGAAAATTTTGACAATTTAGTAAATAAATAAAAATCAACTGAAATCGGAAATCTTTTTAAAGATCATCGATTGGCCAGAAAACTGAAATTGGCTCACAGTATGT